CTGCAGAATTAGCACCTAGTTAGCCAAATGCCCCACAGGCAGAAAAGAGGGCTTTCAGCTCTTTGCTGCAGGTCTAACTTGGACAGGGATTTAAGTCTCCCTTGTGACTTCTTCAGGGTGACTCAAGGACTTGAGCCTCCCACATGGCAGGGCAGTTGGCAGGCTATCCAACCCCTTTTATCCTGTTTCTATCTTTAAAAAAGATTAGACAGAATATTTATCAATATGAGCCAAGCCCAATTACTCATCAACTTGAGCCTACATTTCTGCAACAGCCTTTTGGCTTGTGTCTATGCTTCCACCTTCAATCCACACCCCTAATAATCCAGGGATGCCACTTTCATCATGTGAATTTTCTACCTAAAATATTCCTATTCAAAGCAATTTGGAATTATGCTTTTAAAAAAGCAACTAAAATGCCCTTAAACTTTGACCTACAGCTCTCCTGGCTAAGCATGGCCCCCAAGGAATTCAAAGGTAGAAAGAAATTACCTCCATATACTGAAATATTCGAACCAGAACTTCCTATGGTAGCAAAGAACTGAGAACAAAGTAGGTGCCCAGCACCTGGGAAATGGCTAAAAAAATTATGGTACATGAATGTAATAGAAAATTAATGTACCATAACAAACCATAAATATGAAGAATTCAGAGAAACTTGGGAAAATGTATAAGAATACTGGCTTCACCTAATCCTGCCTCTAATTCCTCTGATGGGTAATCTTAGGCAACTTAGAATGTTCCTGGGCCTCAGTTTTTTTCATCTGTAAAATGAGAGAGTTGGGTGAGATGACTGTTAAGGTTCTTTCCAGTTGCAACAGGTATGATCCTATTGCAACAAGTATTGGGTCTCTGAGCCAGCAGGAAGCAGAGAACACATGGCCAATGAACCCAGTTCTTACAAGCGTGTACAGAGGGCTTAGCTGATGCAACTCCCATATGGACTTTGGAAGACAAACACTCTCTAACTGACTCTATTTGCTAAACTTGTGGTAAACAGGAGCATGTGTGATTGGCTGCAGTTGGAATAGTGTTCAAAGGGCCCTAGTTGACTTCATCCCTTTTTTTTTGGTTTGGCATCTTGCAGTCTGATGACATCCTGTGCGAGACAATGCTATAAAGGGAGAGGTCACAGGGACCCTCCCCCTCTGAAGCCAGCATGAACAGGGACCTTGGTTCTTTTGCCTTAGTATCTGTCCTTCCATTTTAGGTGAAGAATGGAGGCTAGGGCCTTGACACTTCTGAAAGGTCAGGACAGCAGTTCATCCGTACATTCAGGAATGGTGATCGTGCTGGTATTACAGCCAGCCAACTCAAATTTGAGCTGAAGAGTAACCTTCAAGACCCAGTTCAGTAGAAACACATACAAGGGCTCATCCAGCAGCATTGATTATGATTTAGACATGAACTTTGTGGGACCAATGCTATGCAGAAACTATGTTAAGTCTGAGTCCACTCTTCCCAGGGACTGAGATGGTATGAGGGAGTTTGTGCCCTGTAGCGTTATGGAGAAATACTTATATATCTGTTCTTGCTATATCTTTAGAGTAAATATCCTCCTCCTTTTTTGGGGGGGGGGAGGCAAAGTGACTTGCCCAGGTTCTCACAACTAATAAGTGTCTGAGGTCGGCTTTGAATTCAGGTTTTTATGACTCCATGGCAGGTGCTCTATCCACTGTGCTGCCTCGCTGCCCCCAATATTCTCTTGTAAAAGCTAATTGAAGTTCATTATTTAAATGGAACTGGGATATTTGTCACTGGGGGCTAATAGTATATGTGGGAAAACCCCAGAATAGGAGCTTGAGCTAACAGCATTAAGAAAAGACACACCTGTCCCTTTTGGGTGACCGCTGGTACCATGGGTGGGGGGAACAGAGCAGGCAAGTCTTACTCTGGGGGACTAATACCAGAATAACTCACTACACTATGATCCTATAAACAAAACAAGCAAAACCAGGAAACCCATAAACACACAAAACCCCATCACTGAATGTGTGTGATGACAATGCTCAAGAGAAGAGCTGAGAAAATGCTTAGGTGTGGGATACTGCACAGACTGGCAGATGCAGTCGATGTGTTGGCTGGTTTTGCTGACTTGCTTTTTTTCCTTTTTCTTTTTCAAAACACTGTTACAAGGGATGGCTCATAGGGTATAGGAGGGGAAATAATTTATTTGGAAATGAAGGAGATGTGAAAACAAAAGGTGTTGATAAATTTTTTTTAATTAAAAGAAATTCTTAGTCTCCCATTCAAATACCTATTGGGCAGTGACAAGAGGTCAACAAAGAGAACACAATACCTGGCACAGAGTAAATGTTTAATAAATACTTGTTCATTCATTCATTCACTTATTCAGTATGTGAAATCACATTGAAGGAGGGTGAGGATACTCAGCAACCAAATAGGAGAAGTCAGAGCAGAGAAATGTTCTGAGCACAAGAAAAACAAGAGAGACAGAAGCTCCCAAGCCTGGTAGAAGTTAAGATGGGATAAAAACCATGGTCCAGGATGGGAAACCTTGGTGGGCACAGCAGATTCCCAGGGGCAATGACAATGTCACTGCTATTCCTAGGGGTCCTTGGAGGGGAAGGCGTCACACCTGGTCATCTTTGGGCACCACTCCCTGAGAAGGGAGCGCAGAGTAGCGTGAAGGAGCTTTGCCAAGGCCATTTAGCCAGGAAGGATTTGAACCCAAAGACCACTGCCTCTTAGATCAGAGAGAAAGCCCCAAGCAGGCACTAATGGTGTTAAGTTGATTTAAGTCCTATTCATCTGCCTTTCATTTAGGAGGGTTCAGGGCAATCAGACCAGATGAAGTTAGCCTCAGTTTCAGACACTCACCCAAAGGAAGTCACTTAAGCTCTGTCTGCTTCAGTTTCCTCACCTATAAAATGGGAATAATAATAGCATCTACCTACTAGGGTTGTTGTGAGGATCAAATGAGATGATATTTGTAAAGCACTTAGCATAGTGCCTGGCACATAGTGGGCACTATATAAATGATTATCTTTTCCCCCTTCCTCCCAGTAGCCACTGTCCAATGATACTGACCTGAGTGGTTTCTATGGTGCCCCGTTCGAGAATTTTAAGTGTCTAGAAGACATCCCATACCACCTGTCCCTAGAACAGTCTGAACTCTCAACACAAAGAAAGGTTGCTCTTGCCCCTCTAACATGGAGACATGTAACCCTACAATCTCCACTATTCCTAAGCATCATTTCAAGAGATCTGAGTGCAACATGTAATATTGTAATATCAGGAATTGACTCTTTTTGTCTCTTATCACCTTAGAGTCACACCCTAATTCTCCACATGGCTGCCAAGGTGATATTCCTAAAGTCCAGGTCTGACCATGTCACTCACCTGCACAAGAAGCTTCAGCGTCTCCCTATTTCCCGTAGGATAAAATACAAACTCCTGTTTGGCATTTAAAACCCTTTCCCAAAATGATGGATGTTGGAGGGGATGTGGGAAAACTGAGACACTAATGCACTGCTGGTGGAGTTGTGAACTGATCCCACCATTCTGGAGAGTAATTTGGAACTATGCCCAAAGGCCTATAAAACTGTGTATACCCTTTGATCCAGCAATACCATCACTAGGTCTGTATCTCAAAGAAATAAAAAAAGAGAGAGATAAAAATGTTTATAGTTGCTCTTTTCGTGGTAGCTAAGAATTGGAAATTGAGGGAATGACCATCAGTTGGGGAATGGCTAAATAAGTTGTGGCATATGATTGTAATGGGATATTATTGTGCCATAAGAAATGATGAGCAGGATGATTTCAGAAAAACCTGGGAAGATTTACACGAACAGATACAAAGTTAAGTGAGCAGAACTAGAAGAACATTGTACAAAGTAACAGCAAAATTGTACAATGATCAACTGTGAATGACTTAGCTTTTTTCAGCAATACAATGATCCAAGACAATGATGAAAGATTCATGATGAAAAGTGCTATCTGCCTCCAGAGAAAGAACTGATGTCATCTCAATATAGACCAAAGCAAACTATTTTTCAATTTATTTTTCTTTCTTTTCTTTTTCTTTCTTTGTCTTTCTTCCTTCCTTCCTTTTTTTCTTTCTTCTATGACATGATTATAATGCAAGTGTTTTACACGATTCCACAAGTATAACCTATATCAGATTGCTCACCATTTCAGGGAGAGAAGGAGGGATAGAATTTGGAACACAAAACTTAAAAAGACAAGTGTTAAAATTTGTTTTTATATGTAATTGGAGAAAAAAATTAGATAATATTTTATTTTGGTTTTTTGGGTGAGGCAATGGGGGTTAAGTGACTTGCCTAGGGTCACAACAGCTAGTTAGTATTATGTGTCTGAAGCTGGACTTGAACCCAGGTCCTCCTGACTCCAGGGCCAGTGCTCTATCTGTTGTGCCATCTAGCTGCCCCTAGATAATATTTAAAAAACAAAAACAAAAACAAAACCAAAAATCTTTTCCCAATCTGTTTCCAGTATATCTTTCCAGACTGATTTCACATTATCCTCCTTCATATACTCATGTTTTAGCAAAATGGACCTACTTGCTGTTCTCCATAAATGGCATTCTCTGCCTTGGTGTACATTCTTTCTTCATTTCCACTTTTTAGAATTCCAAGTTCCCTTCAAGGGTTACCTTGGCTGTCAATTCCTACACAAGGCCTTTTCTGATCCCCTAGTTGTCAAGAATTCCCACTTCCCCAATTACTTTGTATTTACTTACATGTGTTAGCACTGTATTACCCCAATAGATTGTAAGCCCCTTGAAGGCAGGAGCTATTTAATTCCCAGCACCCAGCATAATGCTTTAAGGGACCACCTAAGCTCTAGATCTTAATACATTTGAGAGGAATAGAAAACTCTCTTTGACTCATGAAGCCAGAAAATACTAGCAAATGAAAACATACGAAACACCTTGGCAGAGACTGGGGTAGAGGAGGAGGAGAAGAAAGTGAAGGAGAAACAAGTGACCATTATTGCTACCAGGTCCTTCAACTTACTGGTTCTTGGAAGTAGAGCTGGTAATGAAAGATTGGGTTGGATTTGACCTTCTCTATAATAGGCACAGCTGGATCTGCTGGAATGAAGGGTGTATTCAGACTGCCCACTGCCCTAGAAAACAAAAGAGAGGGTCTTGGTGAACCCTAAGGAGATAATAATGCTAATAAGAATAATAATAAATGTCATTTGGATTTAATAAGTCTAAAATAAAAGGAAAAATTAGGCTAAGACTAATGGCTTCAAGCTTGAATCTAGAAGTCATACTGAACCAAATGACTGACAGCAATATTTAATAATACCTTGATCTCCTCCAAGCAAGACATATTAGGTGTAAAGATACCAACGAGAAGACTGTGGCTGAATATGTAAGAGATTTATTGATACTCTGAAATCAAAGCTAAATTGGAAGAACATAGATTTAAGATTATAGATTTAGAGCTACTAAAGGGGACCTCAGAGGCTACTGAGACCAACCCTCTCATTTTACAGATGAGGAAACTGAGGCATAGAGCTCTTAAGTGACTTGCCCAGGGTCATGCAACTATTAAGCACCTGAGGAAGTATTTCAGTCCAGGTCTTTCTGACTGCAAGTCTGGTGTCACAATACATTTAAAACAAATGACTCTTATCCAATGCTGGTTTTAATTGTACATCCTTGGAACTGTAAGTAGAACATCACAGATTTGGAAGAATCCTAACAAAAACCTACATGATATTAAGAAAACAGAGGGCTTATTATCCAAAGGTAGTGGTAAAAGATTAAAACTTTCACTCCCAAAAGGACTGGTAGACATCCTTAGAATGCATGACCAAAAAAAAACTTACAGAAATACTCTTTTGATAAGCAGGCATTACCTCACTGAGAAATAGTAAAAGCTTTAATAGACACATCCCATTAGATCGGTCAAATGCAACCAAAAATGGCTTACCTCTAGTTGGAGCCCACAAAAGAACCAAGATCCAATTGGAATCAATCAGAATCAATTGGAATCAAAGGGCTCTTCACAGATGACATCCACATGAACTGAGACAACAATACGGCAACAATGAAGCCTCAAATCTATGAATGGCAATGTGACATTTTTTTTTGGAAAGGGTGGGGCTTAGAATGACAATTCAGGACCAGGTCATCACCATTAGAAACTACAGGAGGGTAATAGTAAGAATTCAGTGCTCGGTAATCAATGAAGATTGTGCCAGGAAGCAGCGGTAATAGGGGAACACTGCTGTAAAACTTCAGGACTTACTAAGTATATTAGGGTAGCTAGATGGCACAGTGGATAGAGCACTGGGCCTGGAGTCAGGAAGATCTAAGAGACTGGAGTTCAAACCTGGGCTCAGACCTTACTAGCTGTGTGACCCTGGGCAAGTCACTTAACCCCTATTTACCTTAGTTCCCCATCTGTAAAACAGGGACACACTGGAGAAGGAAATGGCAAACCACTCCAGTATCTTTGCCAAGAAAACTCCATGGACTACATCACAACGAGTTGGACACAACTGAACAACAACAATAAAACATCTAGAACAACATTACCTGGTGCCTAGAACTGTACATTAGAATTGTACCCTCTCTGTCATGGACTGAGATCGTACTATGAACATAAGCCTCAAAATATACTGGAGATGTCAGTCGATAAACTGTACTAGAACTATACAATCATCACAGACAAATATCTTGCCACTATAGTCTGGATAAAAAATGAAGAACAATATTTTTAATAGAAGTTGTAATGCTAAATACTCATTATTTCCAGGCTTAATGGATAAAATATTTCAAAATAAAAAGACCCAGAAGTGAGCACCAATTATAGGCTACTTTGAGATTTTAAATTTTATATAAGCCAGATTTGGGAATGGGGAGGAGGGAAGAGATGTTGCCCATATTCAGACTAATTAGGTAATCCTTGCTAATGTGTTAGTAAGTTCACATGCTACCCTACCAGATAGTTCTAATACTGGGAATTTCAGGAATTTGATCTTAAGTGAAACTACATCACAAATTTAAAAAATACAGTTATAAGAGTCCTCAGAAGTCATATCATTTAATCTTCTCATCTTATAGTTTAGGTCACAGGGGTGGGGAACCTGAGGCCTTGAGGCCATATGTGGCCTTCCAGATCCTTAAATGAAGCCTTTGGACTGAATCCAATTTGTTCTGTAAAATTTGGAATTAGTCAAAAGGTCGCACCCAAAACTTAGAAGGCCTACTGTCTGTGTTCTGTAGTTACCTTATTCTCTCTGGATAGAAGAGGGCCATGTACCACACCAGGGCACCACCCCAGTCATGGCCAATAAACACCACTTGGGAAATGCCCTGAAGAATAGAAACATATATGAGATGAAGTCTGTAAAGGAGTGTAGGTCAGCCAAGGGGCAGCTCCCAGGCCCTAAAGAACAAGACTTCTTGCTGAAGGAGGTTCCAAAATAGAGTTTGATCTCCCTCTGCTGCTCAGCAATCTTTTTATTTCTCTCTCATAGATTTCCTAAAATAATCCGCATAACAGCTATCCCACACCTCCACTCTCCTCTAGCCCCAACTTAGATGAGATCCTTCATCTTCTCTCCTTCAAACCCTGTCTGACGTCCTCTCTACCCACCCATTCTCTCTTCCACCCTGTTTTAAAGGGAGTTATCCCAACCCTCTTCTAAAACGAGCCCCCTCCTGTCTCTTGTTCCTGTTTGTTTCCACTTCTTCAAGAACTCTGTTCTCTCAATTATCCACCCCCGGTATCTTTGATCTCTCTGTCTCCACTAGCTTCTTCTGCCTTGCTTTCAAATTTGAAGAGTCTCCCAATGCCCAAAAGTTTCCACTTAATAATTCTAAATCAATGAGGCTTGCATCCCATTTCCCACCTTCCAAACGTTTTGAACAAGTGGTCAATATCTACTGCCTTGTCTATGACACCTTAACACGCTTGGCTTAACCTAGAAGAATATTAACTCCTCAAGAGGAGGGATTATTTTTCTCTTGGTATGCCTAGCACAGTGCCTGGCACATAGCAGATACTTAACAAATGCCTGTAGACTGACTAATAATTTGGCTTCATTCCAACCACCCTTTTGGAATTGTACTTCAGAAGGTTACCAATAATCACCTAATAATCAACAAACCCAGCAGCTTTTTTTCAGTGCTCATTCTTCTTGACCTCTGATACCACTGAATACTCCCCACTCTCTATTGTACCCTTTGTGAATTCTTTCTGGTTTCAGGGAAACCTGGGAAGACTTATATGAACTGATGCAGCACAAAGCAATAAGAACCAGGAAGACGATTGCTACAGTGACAATATTGTAAAGACAAACAACTTTGAAAGACTTAAGAATTCTAATCAGTGCAATGGCTAAACATGATTCCAGAGAACTAATCAATGATATAGTATGCTGCCCATCTCCTGATGGAGGGACGATGGGCTCAAGATGCAGGAGAGACATATTTTTGTAAGTCGGTGTGGGAATTTGTTTTCCTGGACTCCGCATATAGATTACAAGGGTTTTTCCCTTTTTCCTTTTTTCTTTTTTTTTTTTCCAGTGGGGTGAGAGAAATAATAAATGCTTGTTAATTGAAAGAAAAAAAATTGAAAAAGAAACTTTCTCTTTAGCTTCTACACTACATTATTCTGATTTTCCTATCACTAGGACCATTGGTCTTTCTTCTATCTACTTTTGTTCTGCTCCTACCCTAAATGTACCCTAAAAGGCTCCTCAGATTTCTACTTTTCACCTCTCTTTCAACAATCTTTTCCTTGAAGATCTCATCTGTTCTGATTACTTGAACTATAACTATATTTCCCAGCCTTGACCTGGAAGTAGCATGGGAATTAGAATCAGAGGATCCTGGTTGGAATGTCCATTCTGCTACTTACTGCCTGTGTGATCCTGGGTAAGTTATTCAACCTCACTGAGTCTCCATTTCCTCATCTATAAAGCGAGATATTTGGACTCAGTGATCTCTAAAATACCTTCCCACTCTAAATCTATCATTCCATCATATATTCCTTTCCCATTGCCTGCTTCCACCACCTCCCCATAGTATACCTTCCTCCTCCCTTTCTCTACCCCTTAGAATCCTGGCTACATTTCAAGGTCCACCTCAAATCACACACTCCTTCCATGAGGGCTTCATTGATTATCTCCACCCTAGAATGACTGGCCCAAGGTTGGGAATTTCTTCTTACCAGCTTATCCAGGAAAGTAATCAACTCCTAAGGAAGAAAAAAATAAGAAAAGTTAGAAATGTCCCCTTAATACCTCAACATGCTGATTCACCTTCACTCAGTTATCTAGTCTTAGAATCCTGATTTTGGAATCACTCTAGCCCTTCCCTACTCCTCTTTGCACAGGGATAATAATAACAGTAATGCAAATACTTTTATTCAACTGAAAAAAAAAAAGAGGCAGTTCTTTCATCTACCTTGTAAGAGTCAACAGGAGATTGACTTTAACGGGATAATAGCAAGATGGCAACTTGATTCAGGACCATTTCTATCTAAACATTGAAACAGATGAGAAGAATGAGCTAATGATAATAATAGTTTCAGAGGGAAAATGCTAAATAGCACTTTTAGGTCTGCAAAGTAATTTACAGACATTTTCTGTCCTGCTGCTAGTTCTTTAGCACATATTTTTGTACCTTCTGTGTATGTGTTCTTTGTTATATGTGTTAGCCCTGTTCTTTTGTTAAATTGTAAACTCTTCCAAGACAGAGATCATGTTATCTGCTGCATTTTAAATATCTTCCTACTTCTGTGAATATCTCCTTTTGCCCAATTAATCCCCATTTAAGGACTGTTGTCATTACCAGCAAAAGTCCAAAGGTTTGGTAAGAGGGTTCATTTACATTCCAGTATTTCCCCTAATGCTTACAGTCAATAAACTTTTATTAATTGCCTACTATACACAGTCACTGTGTTAAGCACTGGGATACAAAGAAAAGCAAAAACAGCCCCCACTCTCAAGAAGATCACCATTAAATGGGAAAAACCATGCAAACAACTCTGTATATACAAGATATATATAGTGTAAACTGAAGGTAACGTAAGCTTCTTGACGGCAGGAACTATTTTTTATTTTGTCTCTCTCTCTTCAGTTCCCAGCACAGTGCCTCATGCATTGTTGGTGTTTAACAAATGCTTATTGGATTGTCACAGAAACACAGAATTTCAGTGCCATAAACAACCTTGATAGCCATCTCATCCAACTTATACCTGAAAAAAAAAGAATCCCCATTGCAACATAACCAACAATTGGTCAACCAGTCTCTTCTAGAATACCTCTCATAAGGGGAAACCCACAAACTCCTGAGACAGTCCTTTCCATTTTTGGATAACTCTAATTGTTCAATATATCTCCTGAATTCAAGCCTAAATCTACTTCATTGCAACTTCCACCCACATTTCCTGGTTCTGTCCTCTGGGGTCAAAAAGAAAAAATTGAATCCCTTATCTGTATAGATAGTCCTTCAAATACCTGAAGATCTTACTCTACCAGGGTCTACTCTTTTGTACGCTAAACATCCCTACTTCCTTCAAATATGGTCATAATTTCAAGACCCTTAGTTCTTATCTGATTTCCTCTAGATATTCTCTGGCTAATGAATGTCACTCCAAAAATTTCTACTCAGTATGGAACTCAGTACTCCAGAAGTGGTCTAATCAAGGTTGGTTGATTGTCATCCTTTGTTGTCAAAGAGGACTAAATAACATTACTATATTGGAGTCAAGGTACAGAGTGTCTGACTGTGACTGATCAGATCAATACGAGCTCAGAAGGTTCTACTACACATTGGGCACAAATAGTCCACATGAACATTTGGAATGAAGATATCTCTAAATATGAGCATCTCGTGTTTTTTTTGCACTGCCACAATTCTTCTTTGCTCACAGAGCACAGGACCTTCTTTGATGTGGGCACGCCATGCTGAGCAGTCCTTTGCCAGTGTCTCCCATATCATACAATCTATTCCAAAGTTCTTCAGAGAGACCTTGAGAGTGTCCTTGTATTCTGATCTCCATGTGAGTACTTGCCCTGTGTGAGTTCCCTATAAAACAGTCTTATAGGCAAACATATTGGGCATTCAAACAACATGGCCAACCCATCAGAGTTGCACTCTCTACAATAGAGTTTAAAAGCTTGGCAGTTTAGCTTGAGAAAGGACCTCAGCATCTGGTACCTTATTTTGCCAGGTGATCTTCAAAACATTCCTGAGACAATTCAAATAGAAGCAATTCAGTTTCCTAGCATGTCACTGATATGCTGTCCAAGTTTCACAGGGATACAATGAGGTTAGCACAAGAGCTGTGTAGATCTTCAGTTTGGTAGGCAGTCTAACATCTCTCCTCTGCCACATTTTCCTTCAGAGCCTCCCAAACAGTGAGTTAGCTCTAGAAATACATGCGTTAACCTCATTATCTATGTGTACATCCTCAGAAAGTATACTGTCAAGGTAAACGAACTTACCCAGAGAATTCAATATTTTTCCATTTGCATCAACCATTTCCATCAATGATTCTACATATGGATGATACACGGTTGGCTGGTGAAGAACCTGTGTTTTCTTGGTGTTAACTGTTAGGTCAAAATTAACACAAGCAGCTGAGAATCGATCCATACTTTGTTGCATCTCAACCTCAGAGGCTGCATTGAGCATGCAATCATCTGCAAACAAAAAATCATACACCAACTTTCCCTCCATTTTAGCCTTGGCTTGTAACCTTTTCAAGTTAAATAATCTACCATCAGTGTGGTGATGTTGTTTTTGTTCTCATTGAAGGCATCTGAAAACATCATGCTAAAAAAAAAGCACAGGAGCAAGTACACAGCCCTGCTTCCTTCCATTGGTGACTGGGAAAGCTTGAGAGCATCATTCATTATCCAGAAGCCACATAAGCATGTGGTCATGGAACTGATGTACAATACTGATGAACTTCTCCAGGTACCCAAATTTTGCCAAAATTTTCCACAAGCCCTCATGACTGACAGTATCAAAAGCTTTGGTCAGATCAAAGAACATTGTGTACAGACCTCTGTTCTGCTGGGCCTTTCTCCAGCAGTTGTCAGATGGCAAACACCATATCAAGCATTCTTCTATCCTTTCTGAAGCCACAATGAATCTCAGGTAGGTGACCATCTTCCAGGTGAAGGATCAGTCCATTAAGGAGGACTCTGGCAAGTGTCTTGCCAACAGTGACTAAGAGAGAGACCACCTCCCCCACTTGTGGACAATCTATTTCCTTTACTTTTTTAGAGATGGACAATGGAGGCATCCTTTGAACTCCTGGAGGATAATCTCCTCTTGCTATATAACCTGGAAAATTTCAGTCAGCTTTTGTATGAGCAGTGGACTCTCTGCCTGGTAAATCTTAGCTGGAACAGAATCAGCACCAGGTGATTTGTCACATAAGGGGAGCCTAATGGCATTCAAAACCTTTTATTCAGTTGGAAGTTCAGCTAGAGAGAGACTGACTTCAACTTGAGGTATATAGTCAATGGCTTCAGCATTGATTGACGATGGTCTGTTGAGAACACTATATTCAGCCCATATCAATAGGATCATATACTAATTACTAATCATTGTGGCTCTATTCTCACTGAGAAGTTGAGCTACACCATAGGTCTCTGGCCCATAAATAACCTTTAGGATATCATAAAAGCCTTTTGTATTGTTACTACCAATGTAAAACTGAATTTCATCTGCCTTCTTACTAAGTCAAGAATCCTGCATCTCTCTAAGCCTCGCTTGCACTTATTTTTGATGAATTTAAACGCTGACTTCTTAGAGAGAGATGAACTCTACAAACTGGTAAACCCTGTGGAGTTCTTGTTTTTTGTTTAGCAGCCTCTGAATTTCCCCATTACTTTTGTCAAACCAACCTTGATGTTTGTGAGTGTTCTGGCCCAAATGAGTAAATGCAGTGCTGTACACCAAATCTAAAAGCTGCCCACTCCTTTTCTGTTCCACTGTTGCCAACCATGTGTTGGTTCAACTTTCCCTCCAAGTTATCAATGAACTGTTCCTACTCAGAGAAGCACTCTAATCTGTTGACATTAAGTCTTCTGGTAGTTATGTTTCTTTGGGACCACTGCTTTTGTTGAATGCAAATATTTAGCTGGGAGACGATAAGTCTATGATCAATCTAGCACTCTATACCACACCTTCATCACTCTCACATTCTGTCTGTCTCTTCTCCTTACAATGACATAGTCTATTAAATGCCAATGCTTGTTGCCAGGCTATGTCCACAAAGTTTTATTGCATTTAGGTAAATGGAAGACAGTGGTGGTGATGAGAAGGTCATGAGATGCACAAGTCTTCAGTAGTAAGTGACCATTGCTGTTTCTAACTCCATTTTTTCCAAGGACTCCCTGACACGTCTGGTAGTCTGTGCCTACTCTTGCATTAAAGTCACCCAGAATTATAAGCTTGTCATCTTCTGGCACACTGATAATGCTCTCTAGATCTTCATAAAATTTTTCTTTGACCTCATCAGGGTTTGTTGTGGTGGGAGGATAGGCACTGATGATGGTGGCATGGAGTTTTCCTGCAAGTGGTAATTGCATTGCCATGAGCCTGTCATTTCCTCCTTTTGGTAGACATACAAGCTTGTTGACTAGACTAGTTTTGATTGCAAAACCTACGCTAGTTTCACAGTACACTCTTTCACTGCGACCACTCCAGAAAAAATGTGTATCCAACTCCGACTGGTGAGCTGGCCTTCATTTGACAGCCTTGCTTCACTCAGGGCTGCTATTTAGATGTGACAGCTGCTGAGTTCTCTTGAAACAAAAGCTGTTTATCTTTCAGGTCTACTGAATTTCATTGTCCATAAGCGTGGGCATATTTCATGTAGTGATGGTGAGTGGAACCATCACTGCAAAAGGTTTTGTAAATTTTTTTCTGTTTTGACCACAGAGTGGGATCCCCACCTGCTGCTCTTTCATGTATCACTGACAGGGGCTTAACAATCCCATGGGCCAATTCTCTTCTTCCCTAATGTTGTAGTAGCTCACCTGAGTCAGGTGACTTATAGCCATCAAGAACCCTAGGTATTCTCTCACCATCTTCTTATGTGTCAAGGGTGGCAATTCCATATTATCCCTACCCAATTAGAAGGAATAAAGGAACTTTCTTATTAATTTTGAATCTTGGAGACTCTACTGAATCTCTCTGCATTTTCACCATCCAAATAACCCGTCTAGATTGGAATGTCACAGGTTCAACAGACATTGTTAATTAGTTGACCAGCTGGCCAGATACTGAAGAAAAAGGTCGACTGGACTGATCCTTCATGCATCTTGGGGATACAGAGGCAATTGCCACATTTCAACATTATACTGAGAAGGCAGCCTAGGTAACCAGAGTGAAGATTAAGTGGATAGAGACTTAGAAAAGCATGTGGTTCATTCTGGCTTTCTAGGAGGGAATTCAATTAGGCTCCAGAGGGCAGTTTGCATTAGTGAAATAGGGTCAAAAAAAATGTTGCCATACAGTCCTTCCTTACCTTACATATGACTTCCATGGAATATTCTTCTATTTCTGAAAGAAAGAAAGAAAATATGAATTTCTAAAATGTAACTTATTAAAATCTGAACCTCCTGGATGCTAACGTTTCAAGCTCCTCTCTTGACCTATTCCAAAGGCAATGACAGCTGCCCAATCTTCACTACAACATATAGGGAGAAACCAAATGCTAGCAACAATGACAATAACAATAACTAGGATTTTTTTAGTGCTTTAAAGGTTTGCAAAGTGCTTCACATGTAATATCTGATTTGATACTGACAATAACCCAGCAAGGTAGATGCCGCTATTATCCGCACTTTACATAGGAAGGAAACTAAGTAGGCAATAATCTTATACATGGCCAGGCGGCTTCAGACCAAACACAGGGAGGCCTATAACTCAACTGGAAGCATGCTCCTGACAAAGGAGTGTATGGGGGGCAGCTAGGTGGTGCAGTGCATAAAGCTCTGGCCTTGGAGTAAGGAGCACCTGAGTTCAAATCCAGCCTCAGACACTTGATACGTCCTAGCTGTGTGACCTTGGGCAAGTCACTTAACCCCAATCGCCTCACCAAAAAAAAAAAAAAAACCCACACAGAAAAAAGAGTGGATGGATAAGTAGGTTCAATCTGTCTAATGTGCACACTGCAAGATCCATGGAGAGAAGGGCCTTTGGAACACAGGTACATTTGTTGATTCAAGGTTACATTGACAGCAAGCATCAGAAGCAGGACTTGAACCCAGATCCTCTGACTCAAGAGCCAATGTTGTTCCCATAGCACCAAGTTGCTTGCTCAGTACATTAGGATTTGAAAGGATTGAAGAGACCTCAGAGATCAACTTTTGCTGATGCTGTTGAGTTGTTTCATTAGTGTCTGACTTTGTGACCCCATTTGGGGTATTCTTGGCAGAGATACTTCAGTGGTTTTCCATTTCTTTCTCCAGCTCATTTTACAGATGGGGAAACTGAGGCAAACAGGGATTAAGTGACTTGCCTAAGGTCACACAGCAAGTAAGTGTCTGAGGCCAGATTTGATCTCATGAAGATAAGTCTTCCTGATTCTAAGCCCAGGGCTCTATCCATTGAGTCACCTAGCTGCCCTCGAGGTCAACTAGTCTAACCCTTACAGTTGAAAAGTGAGGACAGTGAGACTCAGAGAGGGCAATATGATTTGCCTTAACATCATACTCTTACTAGTAAATGGTGGAACCAGTCTTGAAACCTAATCCCCTGACTTGTAGTCCTGTATAGGCTTAGCCCAGGACAGGTTGGGAAGGCTAGCAAATACTTAAGATGAGTAAAGGAATTATTTTCTTAGAAGAGAAAGAAGAAGCGAATAAACTTTTATGAAGCACCTACTACATGCCAAGCACTATGCTGAGCTCTCTACAAATATTATCTCATTTGATAAAGTCTCTAAAAACAAACTTACCATAGGGGACAGAAGAATCACCATAGCCTTTCATATCCGGAACAATAACCCGGTAGCCTGCATCTGCTAGAGCTGGGATCTAAAGAAAGAGATGAAGCATTTAGTATTAATTAACCTGGCTTGGTTTGCTCTGGCCTCTCTCTATTGGTTTGAAGTAATTAAAAAGAAATCCAGAGAACTTGCATGGCCCTGGATTCTAGCCTAGTTGTTTCTTTTTTGTTTGTTTGCTTTTGAAGGAGGTGTGTGCGTGTGTGTGTGTTTTCAGACCTGTGATTTCAATAGTAAAGGGAACTCTCAGCATGTAAACTCCTTCCACTTATCCAGGTCTCTGTCACTTATTTTCATAGAGAGTTATTAGACTATTCAATCAGTCAGTCAGTTATTAAGCATTTACTAAGTGCTATTTAGTAAGTGCTATTATCTGGCTATGCACCAGATGCTGAGATAAACAATGCAGACACAAAGAAAGGCAAAAGAAGGTTGCTTGGCAACAGAATATAAAATTAAATATTTTCTTATGGCTCAGATATGAAGACTGAGCATTCCATTTGCATCAGCTCAAACCTCAAGGATCTAGGATTTCATCACTTCAAACACACCATCCAACAACACAAATCACAACCCCTCTGTAATTTAGAAGATAGTCTTAAGCAGTTGCCCGAGACTCTGGTAAGTTAAATGTAAGAAATTATTCTTTTTTTGTTTTATAATCTTTTTATTAATTTATTTTGAATTATCAACAATCACTTCCATAAGCTTTTGACTTTTAAATTTTTCTCCTCCTCTCTCCCCACCTCCCTCCCCAAGACAGTACGCAATCTGATATAGGTTATATACATATATATACATTCCTATTAAACATATTTTCACCTTAGTGATGTTGTAAGTAAGAATTGGAACCAATTGGAGGAATCACCAGAAAGAGGAAACAAAACACAACAGAAGAGAAAAAATAGCAAATAGTATGCTTTGATCTGCATTCAAACTCTATAGTTCTTTCTTTGGATGTGGATAGGATTTTCCATCATGAGGCCTTTGGAGATGTCTTAGATCCTCGTATTGCTGAGAAGGATTAAGTCTATCAATATTAGTCATAAGAAATGATTCTTATTCTTATATTGTTAGAACCAAGATTTTTTTCCCTTTTCTGTTTCCTTATCCAGAAAGCACCCAGTGTGGGAAATCTTTCTAAAAGACTTACCCAGCCAGGATGGCTGAGATCTAATCAAAGACAGTAAAAGAAATCCTAAGTTTGGGCTAATGGATGCATTCCTGTTCATTGTGTTTACTCAGGTCTGGGAAAATGTTGATTATCCCTTTTGTCAGACAGGTGATATGGAAATTGTTAATTCTCTTTGATCAAGATTTGGGTGATCCAAGTCATGTAGCCCAAGACCCTCACTGTAATATAACCCACCCTCCCATTGTAATATTCATTTTCTCATTAATTGTTAACCAGTCAGAGTTGATTGCCACCCTCAGGAACACCTGCTCTTCCAAAGACATATAAACTGTGAACCCACCACCACAATGGGTCTTTGGTCTGAGGGAACTGGCCACCCATCCTTTTATTAAAAAACATGCTGGCATTGTTAATAAAATGATTAAATTATCCAGAAATTATCTCTCTTGAGCTTTTTAAATGCGTCATAAACAAACTGACCACAAACATATAATTAGTAAGTGCCTGAGGCAAGGTTTAAAGCCAGGTCTACCTGACTCTGGAACCAGATCTCAATCCACTATACTGTGTTGCCTCATAGAGCAGTGCCAGTGCCCAGAAGAACTTCAGAACATTCCAAGGGTTGTCCAACTCTAATCTCCAAAAAAAAAAAAAGCACTCTTTCAATGTTCACCCTTGGGACAGAGGAGATCCCAGGGTTCTCCAAGGCAATACCACAGAGCTCATGCTCTAGCAAATCCTAGTAAGCTGGAAAGATTTCAAGTGTGGACCCAGTGACGGATTGTGCTTGGCTTCTGAGGCCCAGACTAGCTAAATTCAGAGAGGGTTGTAACCAAGTCTTAATGAAGAGAGGAATGATAATAACAATGAACTAATACTAAGCATATACATACATATATATACATGTATATATACACACACACACACGTGTGTGTGTGTGTGTGTGTGTGTGTGTGTGTTTATGTGAGGCTGTTAGGTGGCACAGTGTATATAGTGCCGGGCTTAGAGTCAGGCAGACTTATCTTTCTGAGTTCAAATATGGCCTCAGACACTTCCTAGCTGTGTGATCCTGGGCAAATAACTTAATCCCGTTTGCCTCAGTTTCCTCATCTATAAAATGAGCAGGAGAAGGAAATGGCCAACCGCTCCAGTATCCTTGCCAAGAACACCTCGAATGGGGTCACGAAGAGTTGGACACAACTGAAATGACTAAACAGCAACAATAGCATGTGTGTATGTACGTACATATGTAATTTCAAGATTTACCAGTACCCAGTGATATAGATAATGCTAGTAATTGTATCTCTATTTTGTAGGCAGGTAAACTGAGGTGCAGAGTGTTCAAATTACTTCTACAAGGCCCCATAGCTAATAAGTGCCAGAGCCAGGATTTGAACCCAAATAGCCTGACCCCAAATCCTATGTTCTTTTCATCATGTCATGAAGTCTGGGTATCTAAGTGGAAATGTCTAATGGATAGACAGTTAGAGATACAGTACTGGATCTCATGTCAGCGCTGGAAATATAAACGTGTGAGTCAACTCATTGAAATGATAGGGATGGGCTACTTCCAGAAAGCAGTTTCTATTATTTTGGAGTGGTTGTTCTTTCTATTTTTGTTGTCATCCTTGTGTATATCGTTGTCCTGGTTCTGCTTACTTCACTTTGTATCTGTCCATGTAAGTCTTCCTATGCTTCTCTGTATCCAATATATTTGTGAAGAGAAGGAAAAGCAGAGGGCCAAGAACTGAGTAATCAGGGACATTCAAAATCTGGGGCTTGGTTTGAAAAACAGGAATGAGTGACTGGAAGACGGTAGACCAAGGAAGAACAGTCAGACACAGAAGAGAATAATAGCATACTGCAGAATCCTTTGGTGAAGAAAGTACTCTATGGCTAAAGACCAAAGTCCACACCTCTCCTGTCAGGCTGAATTACCCAGTAAAGCTTCCTGATGTAATGTCACACATACACTCCCGTCCCTGCTTTATTTTTAGATCATACTGGGTGGTCCAGAGGCAAATTACGAGGCGGATTAGAGAACCCAGTCCTGGGCTGTAGCTGGTATGAATCCAGATCCCCAAATTCTACCTAACTCCCGAGTGTGAGGAGAAAAGGGCTCTTAGCATACATCAGACACAGCACCCCCAGACTCCTCAACCAAAACTTCACCCAGGCTGCAGCCCCTCAGTTTTCCAGATCCTGTGTCCTGAAAGCTCCTTCGTTTCCTTCGGCCACCTCTTTTGTGGCCTGGGATTATTGCTCCTTATGTGCCCTGACCAATCTGTACTCTGGACACGTGGAAAAAAAGAGACAGAAGCTAAAGTCACAGTGTCTTCTTCCAGAGCCAGATATGGACTAGGTAGATGGAAGGTATAACAATGATAGGATCCAGGATTTTGAAGAAAGATGGCTCTAAAAGTGAGGGGTAGGTTTAAGGCTATAGGGCATCTCTGAACACCATTATCAGCTTTGTAGAGATCAATGCCCCCTCCTATCTGACTTATGCTCATCTCTCTCTTTACTACTCCACATCCTAGGTCAGACCATCCAGACCACCTTTTCCCTTTAACTTACCCTCACCAAAGTGTAGTAAATCTGAACTGAGACTTACCTGATACCTCCAAGAGAACCAGCTTTCAGGAAAGCCATGGCAGAGACACACAACAGGGCCAGACCCCATCTCCACAAAATGCAGCTTGACACCAGGCTGTATGAAAGACAGGAAGGCTATGACTAGCAAGAAGCCCTTAGGCTGGACAATGAATGCTGACTAAAGGTGCAATCCCCAAATTCTCAGATCACTGCTGGACCTCAGTTGGTTGCTGGCTATCCATATGTTCTCAAAGGCACTCTCTCGCTTCCCCTTTCCCTCTCCATTTCTAGGTATTTTTGGATATTTGGTGGGGAGGAAGAGAGAGTGAGATAGGGGGAGAGAGGGAGAAAAAGAGGAGAGGGAGGGAGAGTGAAAGAGAGAAGGAAAGTAAGGGAGAGAAGGGGGGAGGAAGAAAGAGGAGAGGGAGAGAGGGGTAAAAATAGAAGGCAAGAGAGAGAAATGGAGGGGAAGAGAGAGAAAGACAGAAGAGTGAGGGGAGGGAAAGGGGAAGAGTGAGGGGAGGGAGAGGGGAAGAGAGAGAGAAAGAAGAGATGAAGGGAGGGGGGAGAGAGAGAAAGAGAAAAGGAGATAGAGGGGGAGGGAAAGGAGAGCAACTTTGGAGACCACCTAGTTCAACCTTTCACTTATGGGATACTGAGGCCCAGAGAAATTAAATGATTTGTCCAGGGTCCCACAAATAGTAAGTGATGAGCAGAACTTGAATCCAGTTCTGACTCCAAATCCAGTGCTCTTTCCATCTTAAGTATTAATAGGTAGCATTTGATATGGTGCTTTAAGATTTACAAAGTACTTTACAAATATGATCTCATTTTATTTTGACAACAACTCTGGGAGGCGGGTAATAATAATAACAACAATAATGATGACTTACATTTATATAGCACTTATTATATGCCAGGCACTTTGCCAAGCACTTTACAATTACTAGCTTATTTGATCCTCACAACACTAGGAGGTGGGTGCTATTATTATTCCCATTTTATAGTTGAGGACACCGAGGCAAAAAAAGGTAGAGATGCCGCTTTGTGTTTCATGGCTGTGAGATAAGGTACAATAATCTCCAAAGAATCAGACATTATGACTACCCTACTACCTTTCTTCTGATGATTATTCTTGTTTGTACATAGTTATTTGCATGTTTGTTGTTTCTCCATTAGACTGTGAGTTCCTTGAGATCAGGAACTGTAACCCCAGCACTTAGCATAATGTCTGACACACATTAGGTATTTAATAAACGCTTGTTGGCTGACTCAGAAGGCAATGGAGAGACACATGACAGGGCACGAGCAGAGTGTAATACAAAGTACAGCAAAGTAGCATAAAAGATGTCATTGAAGAAACATATGTATGAAAAAGAAGAAGGGCTGGTCATGTGGTGATAAGAAGGGATAACTAACTTATGGACAATTGAATATTTACAATGTCAAGAGAAAAAGAAATTGGGGAAGGCCCCCACCACACTGGGCAAACCCCCTATAGTGAACTGCAGGGAGGACATAGACAAGAGTCACCCAAGTTGGCAGGCCTTGGTGAGTGCCATATATATCACTAGCTCAAATGCCCACATTGAGCTCCCCTGAGTCCATAACAGGGCATTTCAATCTCTAGCTATAAGAGCTCCTTTCTCCCATCCAAGGATATTGTGTATCTTGTTACTGGGCAAACATGTCTAGAAGAAGGCACCTATGGACAAGTGACTAGAAATGCACAAAAACAAATAACCTTTTGTACAACCTGGTTGTCAAGTTAGAAAAAATATTGGACTGGTAGCTCCTTGAGGACAGAGATTGTTTTTGCCTTTCTTTTTATCTTCAAACCAGCCTCAGATACTCACTAGCTGGGTGACCCTGGGCAAGTCACTTAACCTCTGTCTGCCTCAGTTTCCTCATTTTTAAAGTGAAGATAATAATAGCACCTACCTCACAGGGTTGTTGTGAGGAACAAATAACACATGTAAAAACCCTTTGCAAAACTTAAGGCACTATATAAATGCTAGCCATTATCACCATCATCATCATCGTTGTTGTTGTTAATATGCCATATTGCCAATTAATGATATGCTTGAATATTAGACAATGATAAATGAATGAAACCCTAAAGCAAAAATTCTGTACCTCTATTGTGTAAACAGGGTACTACAGCTATATTTTGGCCTTGTTCAGTATGTCTATCCTAGATCATGGGCTTTGGGGTGTCTTGAACATTGATAGCACCAGCCGTATTTAAGATTATCTGAAGATGTGACCAAATCAGTCGCGTCTCTTTTTTATACGGTGACTGGTGCTTATATGGAAAACTTTGGTCCTTGAAATACTACAACAGGTTGAACAAACACTCACATTTCTCACTCTTGCCTATGCAGTGTGAGGAGCTGGCTCAGGCCTTCATTCAAAAATAATTGGTCCTTACCTTGACTTCAACATATCCATGGGCAACATTGCTTGGCTGGATAGCAACAGGCCGTACCGCATTGTGATGGAGAAACTGAAAGCACAAAATGGATGATGAAAGAGCAGCCCCTAGTTTCCTTCCATAAGTTTTCTCAGTGTTTTATAGGATATTGAGGTTGGCAAGGAAATCTCTAAACCTAGAAGGGGCAACTAGGATGGCAAACATCCTTGAGATCATGTCATAGAAGGATTAGTCAAAAGAACCCGTAATGTTTGGCCTGGGGAAGACTTCAAGAAGAGGCTTCCAACCTGGAGTACGCATACCTCCCCAGGGAAGTATGCAAGAAGTTTGTCAAGGAAATAAGGAAAATATTTGGTAAATAACTATTATCATATTGAAATACACCAAAATTAGTAGTATTAGTAAAAAAAAAATAAAAGTAAATTGAAGAAAGAACAAAAAGGAGGCAAGGAAAAGGGTGGAAACGGGAGGAAATATTATATTGCATCTGAAAAATGAGACAATGACTTGAAGGAATAATTCCTACTGAACAAAATAAATTGAATGAAGTTTGAATATAAAACCCTTTTCAGGAGGGAAAGAGCCAAGATGGTGGAAAAAAGGCAGGGACTTGCCTGAGCTCTCCTAAATTCCCCTCCAAAATCTTTAAATCATGCCTCAAAATTAAATCTGGAGCAAGAGAACCCACAAAAGGAGGGGGTGAAACAATTTTTCAGCCCAAGATAAATGAGAAGGACTTCAGGAAAGATCTATCTCACTCAGCCATACTATGGCAACAGGGAAGATCAAAACACAAACTCAGCAGTGGACAACAATGTCAAAATGCCTACATATGAAACTTCAAAGATGAATTGGTCTTAGGCCCAAAAAGAACTCTTAGAAGAGCTCAAAAAGGATTTTAAAAATCAGATAAGAGAAGTAGAAGAAAAATCGGGAAAGGAAATGAGAATTATGCAAGAGAATAATGAAAAAAGAGTCAACAGCTTGGTAAAAGAAGCACAACAAATGGGAAAAGATATACAAAAATTCACTGAAGAAAACAACTCCTTAAAAATTAGTATGGAGGAATGGAGCCAAGATGGTGGAGAAAAGGCAAGAACTTGCCTAAGCTCTCCTAAATTCTTCTCCAAATAACTTTAAAACACACCTCAAGATGAATTCTGGAGTGGCAGAACCCACAAAAGGATGGGGTGAAACAATTTTTCAGCCCAAGATAATTTAGAAAGACTACAGGAGAGGTCTGTCTCACTCAGGGAAAAGGGAAGCACAGCTTAATACAGGCAGTATCCAGGCAAGCCAGCAAGAGGCCCCTCACCCCAGCACAGATCAACAACCAAGACCTTGCCAGCAATACAGTGGACCATCTATGAGGCCTCCAGCCCCCATTCAAGCAGGCAAGAAGCCAGGCCCAGCACACATGGCAGGCCCAGAGGCCTTGGCCCAGCAGGTGAGTGGCCAAATGGCTTTGGCACAGCAGGCGAGCAGCCTGGTTCAGAGACCGAAAGCAGCAGACCAGTGGCCAGACCCCTTGGCCCCAGTGCAAGAAGCTTGGGATAGAGCCCCCATACCAAGAGAAGAGTTCAACTTTAAAAGTAACAAAAGAGGCTAAAAAATTAGCAAACAACAAAAACCTTAACAATAGAAAGATATTATGGCAACAGGGAAGATCAAAACACAAACTCAGAAGAGGACAACAATGTCAAAATGCCTACAGGTGAAGTCTCAAGAGCTCAAAAAGAATTTTAAAAATCAAATAAGAGAGGTGAAAGAAAAATTAGGAAAAGAAAGTGAACGTTATGCAAGAGAATCACGAAAAAAGAGTCAACACCTTGGTAATGGAAACACAAAAAATGGAAAAAGATTCACTGAAGAAAACAACTTCTTAGAAAGTAGAATTGGCCAAATGGAAAAGGAAGTACAAAAGCTCACTGAAGAAAATAATTCCTTAAAAATAAGAATTGGACAAGTGGAAGCTAATGACTCTATGAGATATCACGAATCAATCAAACAAAATCAAAAGAATGAAAAAAATAGAAGAAAATGTAAAATATCTCATTGGAAAAACAGCTCACCTGGAAAATAGATCCAGGAGAGATAATTTAAGAAAGATTGGACTACCTGAGAACCATGATCAAAAAAAGAGCCTGGAAAACATCTTTAAAGAAATTGTCAAAGAAAACTACCCTGATGTCCTTGAACCAGAAGGTAAAATAGCAGTTGAAAGAATCCACCAATCACCTCTGGAAAGACATTCCCAAAATGAAAATTCCCAGGAATATTATAGCCAAATTCCAGAACTCACAGGTCAAGGAGAAAATACTGAAAGCAGTCAGAAAGAAACAATTCAAATATTGAGAAGCCACAGTCAGGATTATACAGGATTTAGCAGCTTCTATATTAAAAATATCAGAGGTCTTAGAATATTATATTCTAGAAGGCAAAAAAACTCAGATTACAAACAAGAATCACCTACCCAGCAAAACTGAGCATAATCCTTCAAGGGGAAAAAATGGATAGTCAATGAAATAGAGGACTTTCAAGCATTCCTGACAAAAAGACTGGAGCTAAACAGACAAACTGATTTTCAAATACAAGACTCAAGAGAAGCATAAAAAAAATAAACAGGAAAGAGAAAACATAAGAGATTCAATAAGGTTTAAACTGTTTACATACCTATGGGGAAGATGATACTTGCGACACTTAAGAATTGTATCATTAATATGGCAGTTAGGAGGAGTTTACATAGACAGATGGTGTGGGTATAAGTTGATTTTGATGGGATGATATAAAAAAATTAAGGGGTAAGAAAGAGAATTGCACTGAGAGAAGAGGGAAGGGAGAGGTAGAATGGGGTAAAGTATCTCACATGAAGAGGTGTAAAAGATCTATTACGGTAGAGAGAAAGATGGGAGAGGGGTGAGCATCACTTGAACTTTACTCCGATTTAGTTCAAAGAGGGAATGACACATACTCAGTTGGTTACAGAAATCTGTCTTACCCTCTAGGGAAGCAGGAGGGAAGAGAGACAAGAATGGGGTGGGGGGAACTGACAGAAGGGAGGGCAGATTGAACAAGGCAGTGGTCAGGAGGAAAACACTGGTGAAGAAGGATAGGGTGAAGGGGGGATGGGGGAAGAGAGAGAGGGAGAGAGGGAGGAAGAGAGAGAGAGGGAGAGAGAGAGGGAGAGAGAGAGGGAGAGATGAATGGGAAAAATAAGACGGAGGGAAGGAATATATAGTTAGTAATCATAATTACTAAATTACATAAAATGTGAATGTGAATGAATTCATACATAAAACAGAATCAGACAGCAGAGTGGATTAAAAACTAGAATCCAAAAATATGTCGTTTATAAGAAACACACCTTGGGGGCAGCTAGGTGGCACAGTGAATAGAACACTGGCCCTGAAGTCAGGAGGACCTGAATTCAAATCTGGCCTCAGGCCAAACACTTGACACTTACTAGCTGTGTGACCCTGGGCAAGTCACTTAACCCCAATTGCCTAAAAAAAAAAAAGAAAGAAAGAAAAAAGAAACACATATGAAGAAGAGAGACACACACAGAGGACAGGTAAAACACTGGAGCAGAATCTATTATGCTTCAGGTGAAGTTAAAAAAAATGTAGGGGTAGCAATCATGATCTCAGACAAAGCAAAAGTAAAAATGGACCTAATTAAAAGAGATAAGGAAGGAAACTATATCTTGCTAAAACATACCTAGACAATTAAATAATATCAATACCGAACATATATATACCAAATGGCATAGATCCAAATTTCTAAAAGAGAGGTTAAATGAGTTACAGGAAGAAATAAATGGTAAAACTATATTAGTCGAGGACCTCAACTTTCCCCTATCAGAATTAGATAAATCTAACCACAAAATAAACAAAAAAGAAGTTAAGGAGGTGAATAGAAGTTTAGAAAAGTTAGATATGATAGACCTCTGGAAAAAAATTAAAGGGGAACAAAAAGGAATATGCCTTTTTCTCAGTATTATAAACTACACAAATAATGACCATGGATTAAGGCATAAAAATCTCACAATCAAAAGCAGAAAGGCAGAAATATTAAAAGCATCCTTTTCAGATCATGATGCAATAAAAATTTTGAGTAGCAAACTAGAAATGGTAAATTCTCCCCAGAAATATTTTCAAGTATATTAAGTGTTTTTGCTGAGAAGCTAGGGGGTGCCTCTCACATTTGGAGGCTACTCAAAATACCATTTGCAAACACATCACAGACATTCTCCACCTTAACGCAGTTAAACCAAATCTTTGAAGATACCTTGCTAAGTGAAACAATGTGGGAAGTGACATTAATTTCATAAAAGTAATGCTAATCAAACAATTAGTCAATCAATGAACATTTATTAATTGCTTATTACATGCCAGGTTCTGGTGCTAAACACCGGGAATACAAAGAAAAAGCAAAAATCGTCCCTGCTCTCAAAGCTCTTACATGCTAATGGGTGACATACGCTGATATGGGTACACCTAAGGTACATTGAAAATAGATGAAGATAGCTTTAGAGAGAATGGTACCAGTATCTTGGGGGACGTGGGAAAGACGTGGAGGTAGCACTTGAGCAAAGTCCTAAAAGAAGCCAGGGATTCTAAGAAGGGAAAACTAGGAGAGATAGCATTGCAGGCATGGAGGAGAGCCAATTCAAAGAGAGGAGAGGGAAGATGGAGTATTGTGTACAGGGGACAGTAACTAGGTACATATGGCTTGATTGCTGAATATATGGAGAGCAGTAATGTGTAAGAGGCCTGGAAAGATAGAAGGAGTTAGATTGAGAACAGCTATAAAAGCCAAACAGAGAAGTTTACAATTGATCCCAGAGGTAATTAAGAACCACTGGTATTCAGTGAGTGAGAGGTTACATGGTGAGACATGCTCTAGGAGAATCACTTTGGTAGTGCTGTAAAGGATGGGATTGGGGAGAGACTTGGAGCAGGCAGGAGTCCACTTTGAAGCCTAATCCAACAGTTCAGGCAAGAGATGATGAGGGCCTAAATGAGTGTTTTGGTTGTGTAAATAAAGAGAAGTGGATATATGCAAAGATACAGTTCATGGAGAAATAAGTTATAAGATATAGCAATTATTGGATACGTGGAATGAGTGAAAATGAGGAGTTGAGGTTAACCTCAAGCTTGCAAAATTCTGTGACTGGCAGGATAGTAGTGCCTTCAACAATATTAGGAAAGCAGGGTAGGTTGGGGGGCAAGAAAATAAGTTCTCTTTTGTACAGGTTGAGTTTGAGACCCCCAGTTTGAAATGTCTCTCAGGCAGTTAGTAATACTGTACTGGAACACAGGAAGACTAAGGATGGATCTGCAGATCTAGGAAGCATCTGTAGAGCGATGATAATTGAACTCTTAGAGATTATTGAGTCTATCTCCTCTTTTCACAGATAAAAGCCCGTGGAGATGAAGTCATTTCTTCAATTCAATAAACATTTATTAAATGCTTACTATGTGTCAGGCACTATGCTAAGTTCTGTGGATACAAAAAGAGTTAAAAGACAGTTCCTGCATTAAGGAGCTCACAATCTAGTAGGGGAGGTTACATATAAACAAATACATAAAAAGCAAATATATACAAGATAAATAGGAGACAACATACAAATATATACAAAGCAAGCCATATAGGATAAATAGGAAATAATTAACAGGGGAAAGCACTAGAATTAAGAAGAGTTGAGGAAGGCTTCCTGTAGAAGACGAGACTTTAGCTGGGACTTTAAGGAGGCCAAGGAAGTTAGCAGTCAGAGTAGAGGAAGGAGAGCATTGCAGGTATGGGGGAAAGCCAGAGAAAATGCCAGGGCTGAGAGATGGAGTGTCTTGCTTGTGGAACAGCCAGGAGATCAGTATCACTGAATCAGAGTACATGTCAGGGAGTAAGTTATAAGAAGACTGTAAAGATAGAAGAAGGCTAGATTATGAAGGGCTTTGAATGCCAAGCAAGAGAGTTGATATTCAAAACCATGGTCCTTTGACTCCAAATCCAGCACTCTTTCCACTGTACCACATTACACACAGACACACAGACACACACACACACAGACACACACACACACACACACACACATGAGAAAGGGACTTGACTGATTAACAAAACAAAAACAGCACGACAGCTTTAAGCTCATAATCACCTGTATGCCAGTTAATTTTTCCAATTCTTTCAGGGCCATGTCGGTATCTTGGGCAAGGATGGTGACCATTCCTACTTCACGAGCTTTCTTGAGGTTGGCTCCAATGTCATCTAAGAAAACAGCCTGAGATAAGAAGAGAAAAAGTTAAAATACGCATAAAAAGTTTTAGGACAAAGGCATTTGTCAAACATAATTCAAAGATATATAAGAAAAATGACAATGGATAATGGATCAACTTAAGTCTACTTCCTACAGTTCCAGCATCCAGCCCAGTCTGAAGCCGGCAGTGAATCACCAGTGGAATAACTAGGAAGTCCAGACCAAAGGGGAGCCTGCTGTTCTGTGGTTCTGAACTGCAGATAGTGGCCGAGTTTAGCAGTGGTCTATTGGAATTTCCAACCGGGGATTATCCAATAAGAGTATTTCACAGACTCAAACCCAGGTAAGGAACTTACAGAGTTCAGACTAGGAAAGTAGCGATCAGATTTTGCCCTCGATAATACCGTTTTGGGAACTCCGAAAGCTTGCAGGTTTCTAACCTGAGCTGTCCCTGAGGTTCTGGAATAACAGAGGAGAACAGCTCAGCTCAGACATCTTCTCTCCCCACCCCCCGGGAGTACACTGAGGCTTAACATAAAGTCCAAACTCAGAAAGTAGAATGGAAGAATAAGCGAATAAAAAAAGAATTCCACCATAAACGGTTATTACAGTGACATCAATGCTCAAGACACAAATCCAGAACAAAAGTATTTCAAAACATTTATAAGCAAAGAGTCAAAAAAACGCACATCTTTGACACAAGTTCAATTCTAGAATTTTTGGAAGAGATGAAACAGTTTTTTAAAAAGGTTTTTAAACTATTTTTAAATGAGATAAGAGTACTAGAATAAGCATAGGAAAAGAACAAACAAAATTATCACTTTTTGCAGATGATGCAATGGTTTACTTAGGTAACTCTAGAGAGTCAATAAAAAACTAATTGAAATTATTAACTTCAATAAAGTTTCAGGATATAAAATAAACTATACAAATCACTAGCATTTCTGTGTAATATGAACAAAATTCAGCAGGAAGAGACAGAAAGAGAGATTCCATTTAAAATAAAGAAAATATAAAATACCTGTATTTGTTAAGATACACTCACAAGAATTATATGAACACAACCACAAAACACTCTTAAACACATATAACAACAGGTCTAAATAATTTGGAGAAATATTAATTGTTTGTGGAAATGCTAGGCTAATATAATAAAAAAAAATACCTAAATTAATTTTCAATGCCATTCCAATCAAACTACCAAAAGATTACTTTGCAGAGCTATGAAAAAATGACAAAATTCATCTAAAGGAATAAAAGATCAAGAATCTCAAGGAAATTAATGAAAAAAAGCGGGAAGGAAGGAGATCTAATAGTATCAGATCTTATACTACACTATACTACAAAGTAATAATCATCAAAACAATTTGGTACTTGTTAAAAATAGAGAGGCCTATTAGTGGAACAGATTAGGTATATAATATATAAAGGCAACTGAGCACAATAGCCTAGTGTTTGATAAAACTAAAGATTCTAGCTTTAGTTTAGTTTAGAACTCATTGTTCAACAAAAACTTCTGGAAAGACTGGAAAGCACTCTGGCAGAAAACTAAGTCTAGACCAAGCTCTCACTCAGTACGCCAAATAGATGCGTAACATGGACATAAAGGGTGATAACATAGACAAATTAGAAGAGCAAGGAAGAAATTACCTATCAGGTGTATGGACAGAGGATGTTTGTGACTAAGCAAGAGATAAAGAAGATCGCAGAAGGTAAAATGGGCTATTTTGGGTACATAAAATTAAAAAGTTCTTTCACAAAGAAAGTCAATGCAGCTAAAATTAGAAGAGAAGCAGGTAGATTGTGGAGAGTGGGAGACCGTCATATCAAGTACCTCTGATAAAGGTCTCACTTTTATGATACATAGGAAAGTGATTCAAATTCATAAGACTAAAAACCATTTTCCAATTGATAAATGGTCAAAGGATACGAATCAGCAGTTTTCATAGGATACTAGGTACAGGGTTTATATTGGGAAAAGTCCCTAAAATATAGTAATAAATGAAAAGTTATAAAACTTTAAACTCTGTGAAAGGTGGAAGCCCAGATGTGGTGAGCTGTTTACAATTATATTTTAGGCACCGAGTCAAAACGTTAAGATACTATGACCTATGAAAGCCAACACAAGAATACTGTGACCCATATGTGACCAGTAAATGATACATACACAAGCTTATGTTTGGGCATAACATTGGCTTAATTTCCAAGCTTATTACTAAGCAGAAAACAAAAAATATCCACTAGTCAGTAGTGATGCATTGTCTAGATCCTCCTGCCTTTGTCTGCTTTCTATAATTACTATGGGGATTTTAGGATTCTTCAGCAGGAATCCACAGAACTGTCTGGCTCCCACCCCAGACCAAAGATTGCCCCTGTTTGTAAGTATTCATAAAATCCAGAGCTCCATGGACTCTTACTTTGGTATAAGATGAACACCCTACAGTTATGGAGGAGGTACAGGGTTCTCCAGCTAGGGGAATTCCAGACCTTACACTAGGTCTATACCCCCAAAGAGAATAAAGAAAGAAAAAAAGGACCCATATATACAAAAATGTTTATAGCATCTCTGTGGAAGCAAAGAACTGGAAACTAGGGTGAGGCCCATCAATTGGAGAATTGCTGAACAAGCTGACATATGAGCATGATGTAATATTGTTCTGTAAAAAATGATGGAGATTGTTTTAGAGAAACCTAGGGAGACTTGTATGAACTGATGAAGGGTGAAGTAAATTGAACCAGAAGAACAATTTATACAATAACAACAATATTGTAAAGACAATTAACCTCGAAAGACTTTGGAACTCTGATTGTCACAATTCCAGAGAACTCATGATGAAGCAGGCTGCCCGCCCTTTATAGAGAGGTGATGATCTCAGAGTACAGACTGAGATATAGTTTGTTGTTGTTATTGTTTTTTAATATGGTCAATGCAGGAATTTGGTTTCTTTGGCTATACATGTCTGTAAAAGGTCTCCCCCCCCCCTTATTTTTATCAGTGGTGGATGGGGTTGGGGAAAGGTAGAGGGGTCAAAAGAAAGAATGCTTGAAAAAATTGTTTTAATTAAAAAAAAAAGAAGAGGTCCATGGGTATCACCAGGCTGTCAAAGAGGATCATGACAAAAAATGTTAAGAACTCCTGCTCTGGAGTCTGATGTAGAAACTATGCTGTACTCTCAGGTTGTCCATTTTTGGAAAAGCAATAAGAATAATCCCTCCCAATGAAAGAGTCAAAAATGATAAATAAATGCCTAAGTTCTCAAAATAATAAAGGATTTTTAAAAAATCATCCATAAGGGCTAAATCAAAAAGGCTATTTTTTTTCATTGATCAAAATTGGCTGCAATTCAATTCCATATCTATATATTGTTTACTTTAGGCCAGGCTCATAGAAAGCAACATGGCATAGTGACTGAAGAGCTAGTCTTGGAGTTAAGTGCAACCTGGTTTCAACTCCCATGTCAGAGACAACCTGGCCCTGGTATTTTGGCTAAGTCACTTCACCAGGCAATTCTCTAAGACAATAACTCATCAAGAAGGTGTAGATCTACATTGATAAATGGAGTTTTCTCAACAGGAGGAATTAAATCACAAGTACAGTCCCTCTCTCCCCCATTGCCATTTCAGGATGGCAGTGAGAAGAATTAACAACTGGACTGGTAGTTCCATGAGGCAAAGGTGAGGAGGGAGGGAATTCGAGGCATGGAGACAACCTGTACAAAGTCATGGAGATTGGAGATGGAGTGATGTATATGGGGAACAGCAGACAGGCTGCAGGGAATACAGACCACCTCACAATTTTTCTATCAGTGGTAATCCAAATAATCTAGCCTATGGGCCTCCCAAAAACTTTATAGAGACTCTATCTCTTCTACCACATCATTCTGCTATTCAAAAAATCCTAGCAAGGATAAACTATAGTATGTAGCTCAGGGAAGGTATAGATCAAGGATAGCTGGGAATGGACTGATCTTAGTACTTAAGAGAGTAGAATCTGTGGGCACACGTCCATCACGTCTTCATGAACCCCACTTTGAGATATTATCTGAAATCAAATCTACATAGTTAATTATGCCTTCTCTAAATAGTAGGAAGAGAGGAAGCAGTCTTATTGCTTTTACTTATGTCAATGATGAAGAGACTGTTAAGCTTTTTTCCAATACCTGCTTAAGACATATTGAAACCTATGGGGAAAGGAGAGAGGAAGAGGGGGCATAAGCACTATCAAGCATCTACTATGTAGCAGGCACTGAGCTAACCGCTTTACAAATAACATCTCACTTGTTCCTTACAATAACCCTAGAGGCAGGAGCTATTTTGATCGCCATTCTACAGGTGAAGCAGATAGAGGTTGGGTTTATTCAGGACAGGTCACTATGGATTAACCTGAAGGTAAAGTAATTTGCCCATGACTTGTGGTTGATAGCCATAGAGCTCTAAGTTTTCCACAGCACTTTACATCCATTTTCTCATTTGATACTCCACTCACAAATGGATCTGCGATCATCTATTCAGAAATTCCATCCAATGATGAAGACCACATCCCATCCATACCTGCCCATCCTATGCAGTTCTTGTCCATGTCCTCTCAGAAGTTTGCTGCATGTGGTCTCCCAACATATTGGACTTTCTAAGGGTAGCTATGGAGAACTCTGGTTATTCATCTATCACCCTTTGTCCTTGCACGTGACCAGCCTATCAGCTCTTCCCATCACAAAATTCCTTGGTGACATGGTTTATTCCTGTTCCTCTTCAAAGTGAAATGACTTTGATAAAGATTTTGTACACATGAGAGAGTAGCTTACATATTGGTAGCCTTCTTGGTTGCCTTTTTCAGTATTAATAAAGTCTAAGATTTTTCATTCCCCTGGTGTCTTTCTTTCCAGATATCAATCTTTCAACACTCTCACAATTGTCTCAACTCTATCATGTATCCCTTCTGTGTACATTTAGTCTAATTGAAGTGCTGTTTCCATCTTTGTTCTCTTTAGTGTCATTCATATTTTTTTCTATAAGCACAGCTGGGA